CATCTCTTGCTCAACATATTGGAGAATTAGACTGTTCTAATGTAAAGAGCATAGTGTTTGAAGTACATCTAAAATCAAAACAAGAGGAATTTAACCAAATGGCATCCCTATCAAAGTCAGCCAGTGCAATTGGGATCGGGAATCAGGAATCAACATCCATTATTTCTAAATTTGAAAAAAATGCCTTCAAAATTTCATTAAGTCAAAAGTTGTCTTTAATCAAAACAAAACTCAATGAAAATAGAAGCCCAAGACAGTAATGGTACCTCTGGTAGCAACAGCCATTTCCCTTTTACTGGTCCTTAGTGCTTCTGTTAATCAATTACAAAATTTTCACCATAGATCATCACTCAAAACAAAGAATAAAACCATAAAAAAATGTGATAAGAAACAAGCTAAAGTCCCTATACTAAGCTGAAGGAAGATTAATAGAGAAAGTGGGATTAGAGAAAAAGGGGGGAAAGATCTTACCTTTGGGTGAAGTCTTCTTCTTGAAAATGTTGTTCAACTTCTCCATTTTCTTTGACAAAAATTAATGATTCTGATGGAAAAAAAAAGGGTGGAAGAAGCCCTAAAATTTTCTTGAAATGGGAAAAGAACCCTAATTTTTGTTGAAAAAGACCTGAATCATGAAAATGGCCGATCAAAATGGGTTCTTTCTTCTTTTTCCTTTTTGGATTTTTTCTGTAAAAGAGGAAAAGAGTGAAGAAGAGCAGAGAGTGGCAAATGGTAGCGGCCGCCTACAGAACTTAAAGGAGTGCGGAACCAAAATATGGTTTATTTTTATTCAAAATACTCAAATAAGTGTAAAAAAAAAGTTACCAAAGTATATATAACGCCACTAATAGTGGCACTATACAGTAACGTTACAGTAACGTTAACTGTACCGTTACTGTATAGCGTCACTATTAGTGACGTTATACTGACAAACTTACATAGCGCCATTAATAGTGGCGCTATATGTATATTACCTGAAGACATAGCGCCATTAATAGTGGCGCTATACCCCTTAATACAAATCCTCCATCTTCTTCTTCTTCGTTCCATCTCCCTCATTTTCATTTCTGGTCCCCCACCACTGATTCTGCCCCCATTTTTTTTAAATTTTTTTTTGGGCCCCCCGTCACATAAAAGTTTAATATTTGTGGTCCCACTGTCGAGTAGAGCTTCGTGTTATTGTGGATTCACTCTTCCGGAGTCAAAATTTCGATCTATCTACATTTCGAAATCTCAATCGAGATATTTCGATTTATTTTAAGTTGAAACTTTTATATCAATGCATATTACTTGATTTGTATGTGTTCTATTTCGGTTTGTGTTTATTTTTTCCGAAACTA